TTAAATCAGTATCACATTTACAAACTCCCTTAAAAATCATTAAAACTCATCTTAGTTCATCACGATCTCACTGGTGTCCTGCCCGGTGGAGTCGCACGGTAGAGTCGATGGTCTTTACACTCTTCGGTCTTCACACGAACGCAGAGTGAATGTTTGAATCGATTTTCAACCGGCTCGCGGTTAATCGTTACATCCCTACTCGCAAGTCATCTGAATGAGTCACTTATATTGTTCACAATTAATGATTGGTTTCTGAATCATTCAAAGTAGCAAAACTTTAGTTTGGTATTGTTAAGTGTGAATTATTTTTAGGTTTTGAGTAACTATCTATCTATCTATCTATCTATCGTTATGTCTATCTATCTATCGTTATGTCTATCATTTATATCTTTATAACATCTATCGTTATTTATTATATCTATCATTATATCTTATCTATAGTTATATTTTATATTTATCGTTATATGTAGCGTTATTTATTATATCTATTGTTATATCTTATATCTATCGTTATATTTATTGTTTTATTGTTTTAGCAACATGACGGTGTTTCGTTCCTGAATGAATCAAACATTTAAATGATTCGGTTCAATCGCAATGACTCACTTAGTAACAGTGACTTGCTGCCACCTACTGGCGGATTTAATTTCACATTTAAAGTATCTTTTATTATTTAAATCATTTCAAATATCAGTATTCAACGTTTTATGTTTAATATATCAAAACATTATTTATGCATTTGTAATCGCAGGTTAAATGCATTCATGTCTTGCATTAAACAGTGAGTAAACGCATCTAAATGCCTCTTCAGATGCAGCTTCTGTGTTTCCTCTGCATTGCAAAGATGAATTGATTCTGATTTCATTTGTTTGGTAACAGCCCAAATGTCTTATTTTTCTAATTCACTGATTAAATGTAAGAATTTGACTCAAAAGGTAATGGACACTTTTAGAGAAAATGGCTTTATAAAGGTAAAAATGCCCATAAAATGTAAAAATCAGTTTAAACTAATTGGAAAAGATTAATTTCTATCACTGCTGTGAACTGACCACCACACAGAATATGAAGAATATAAAAAACTTTAGGAGTCAGCTGTCCACGGCAGTCCTTAAGATACAAGCACAATAAACACTCAGCAAAATATCGTCTAATTATCGTTATTGATAAAATCCCAGAAAATATCGAGATATTATTTTGTGTCAATATCGCACACTCCTATCTATGTGTATCTATATGTCCATCTTCATGGTTTCATGGTTTTTGAGCGTGTGTGTGTGAGTGTGTGTTTAGCGTGTGTGTGTGTGTGTGTTTTAGCGTGTGAGAGTGTGTGTGTGTGTTTAGCGTGTGAGAGTGTGAGTGTGTGTTTAGCGTGTGAGTGTGCATGTGTGTGTTTTAGTATGTTATTGTTTTGGGGAGGATGGTGTCTGTCTGCACGTTGTCTGGCATGCGGATAAAAGCTCTCTCTCTCTCTCTCTCTCTCTCTCTCTCTCTCCCCCCCAATTTAACTTACCTTTTTCTTCCAGAAATGTGGTAACTTTTTCTCATTTAGGGCCATGAAGATGTCTAAACAAGTTGTATTCCAAATTTGAAGTTGATATAAAAAAAGAGGTTCCTATGCAATTTTGTTTAGGCGTTATACCAAAACTAGCCACCTGGTGCCATTCAAACGCCATTGAATTTTTTAATGCAATTTTTCTGTCACAAATGTATAAAATTATCTCTCAATATTACATCTATCACAAAATAACCATCAAATATGGAATCTTGAGACTCAGACCTTTCCAACGATATGTGTTTTGTCAAGATTATAAAAAGTTTTGATTCTAAAAGACCGTAATACATTTTGTAAAATGACACCCCCCACTAAGGGGGAGGAACCCACTAAAATAATTTAAAGTACCATTTCCATGGTAAAGCAATGTCCGATTTCAACATGGGTTCCACAGGATGAATTTTGAGGTTTTAAGCTTTCAAATTATATATAATTTATGTTGATTACTAAAACATGTGATAGGGGAAAAGGAAATGAAAAAATAATTTATGTGACAAAGGTCAGAACTTCTATTATGATGTATATGTTTTGAGGTGCACTCTTGTCATAAATTAATCTATTACTGTTCCTACATAATATGTAACAAAAAACAGTGGTAAAATATCTATTATCTATGGACTTTTCCATACAGTGAAAGTGAATGGTGACCAGGGACTGTCAAGCTCTAAAAAAAAAAGCAACATAAGTGTTATAACTGTAGGAAAATCTTTCTCTCTGTTATAGCTTTCAAATGTCATTTGCATAATTTAAATAAGCATATACTGATCAGGTGTAATCAGAGACACATGAGAACAAAATTTTGGCATTACTGATATCATACTGATCTGACATTATATTAATACAGTACAAACAGGAATGAGATTTGAGAGTTGCGTCACAGTCAATAATGAATAATAAATAATACGTTTGTCATTTCAACACAAAGTCATCGTCTGGCTTCATAAGACATAGAATATAGCCATATGGACTAATTATCATTCTTTTAGTTCAAATTTTTGGAGTTTAAAAGCCCATGGTCACTATTCCCTTTCATTGTATGGACAAGAGCAGCATGAACATCCTGCTTAGCTTCTTCTTATGTATTCCAAAGAAGAAAGAAAGTCATATGGGTTTAGAACAATGTGAGAATGAGTAAATAATGACAAAATTATAATTTTCAAGTGAGTAATCCCTATACAGTATAACATTCTTCTATTTATGCTGTTTACTTCTCAAGATGTCAGCCAAATACTGCATGACACGAGCCACAGTACTATAGACCATATTATCCATCTAAAAATAAAACAGAAAATACATTTGATACAAAACCACACTCTCTTTTACTTGACACCGTGTGTGTGTGTGTGTTTTAGCGTGTGAGAGTGTGTGTGTGTGTTAGAGTGTGAGGAGTGTGAGTGTGTGTTTAGCGTGTGAGTGTGCATGTGTGTGTTTTAGTATGTTATTGTTATGGTGTCTGTCTCTCCCAATCACATAAACAGTCCCATTAGTGGAACACCATTAAGAAGGAGGTCAGCGCCAAATCTACTTTCACAATCCCTCCCCTCCCTTCCGTCCTCCTCTCTCTCTTTTTCTCTCTCTCTTTTTTTCCTCTCTGTTTTTCCCCCCGAATGGAAGCGCACAGCTCCTGACAGTCGGTTGTGACACATCTGCGTCTATATTTATCATATAAACAGTGGTTGTAATATTTGTTAGTTGTAATGAGAATGCAGCGCGTCAGACGGCAGCTGCTCATGTAAACACAGCATTCATGTTATCAGTGAGCACTAAACGCTCGTGATTGATCGACTTTTTTATTTATTTATTTATTTAAATTCCATAATTAATTTGTTTATATTTTTGTTTATTTATTTAAATTCAAATACCGCAATAATTTAATTCAATTCAATTCAATTTAATTATTACAGTAATGTATTTATTTATATATTTGTTTATTTAATTGATGAATTGTTAATTTGGGGCAGTCGTGGCCTAATGGTTAAAGAGTGGGACTTGTAACCCAAAGGTTCGAGTCTCAGGTCCGGCAGGGATTGTAGGTGGGGGGAGTAAATGTACTGCTTATTTTTATTTATTTGAATTTTATGAAGTGACATACAAATTTAATTTAATTTAATTTAATTTAACTTAATTTAATTTAATCTCAAAGCATGAAGCAACCAAAAACCAAAACCGAAAAATGTTTATTCGATATAGATGGTGCAATATAATTTATTTATATATTTATTATATATGTATGTATAATTTTCTGTTTTAAATGTTCATCTCATCCCAATCAAAACCAAAATTATACTAAGAACATGTGCATACTTAAAAATAGGTGTTGCATATAGAACATGCGCACACATGTCATATGTTTCGTTTAAACGTAATGTGTTTGTAACTTGAAACCTTCCTTCTTTTTTTACTTGTTTACATGTTGTTATGGCAACCAGATCATTGCAAGCTGATTGGCTGAGAGAAGTTCTAGAATTAACTAGAACAAACAATAGTTTCTAGAAGGACATCAGTGAGTCAGAACGGCTGAAACTGGGACATATTTCCATATTTCTGTGAATGGCTGGGGCAGCGGGCCGTGTGGTCAGCGCTGTGTTGTCGCGGATGTTTTGCTGCTGGATGTGTGAGATTATGCTGATCAGAGAGTTTGAGCCACTTCCGCTCTCACTTAATTAACTAAATGGCCCAGAGCTCCGAGTTATGCTTTATTATTCAGCCTGATGCATATGGATTCAGACCGGCCAAGAGCTGAGACAGTGAAAAGCGTTCCAGCCGATTTTAACTTCAGCCTCGTCAGAATAACTCACAATCATAAATGAGTCTGTCAGAGCGCCGGCTGACGAATGAGACCAATTCACTTTTAATGCAGATGGATGTGGTTTTGCCAAATGAAAAGATCTGCTTAATTTAGCATCTCCAGATGGAAGATGTTTGAAGGATCTGAGGACACGACCGAATGATTGAACAAGAGCGTTTAATTACATTAGCGAGACGAATACAGATGCGCTGTGGAGCTCTTCTGCTGTTGTCTAGTTTAGAAAGTGAAGACACTAGAAACTGCTTGCAATTTAGCAAGACAAATAACTAGCTGTGTGATTGTAGGGACAGAGGAAGAGCAGTCAGAGGTCAAGAGGTCAGCGAGTGTCAGAGTTATTAAAGTCACCAGAACTTTCCATCAATAGAGATGAGAACAGGACTGAAGGCCTCACTTAAGGAAAATTAAAAAATGTATTAATTTTTTTAATGCATCTATTTATTCCAGTGTAATTATGTAATTACTTAATACATTTTATTATTTATTTTCATTTATTATTTATTTGATTTTGTCCCATTTTTTAGAATATATGTATTTTTTTGTTTGATACAGATGCAATATTGTTTATCTAAATAGAAGTCATGAAGTTTGTTTTGCCATTTATTTATTTATTTATTCATTTATTTATCATAACCACTGTTATTCATTTATCCCCTTTTCTTAAGTATGTTCAATTAAATTTTTTTAGTAAATATTTATTTATTTATCTTAATGTATTTATTATTTTATTTCATTTATTTATTGTTGATCTTGTCCCAATTGTATTAAATATATGTATTTGTTTATTCAATATAGATGGTGCAATATAATTAATAGTCTAATATTTTAAATAAATAAAACGTTTTTTTAAAAGTTTGTTTAGACTAAAAATCATACAAATATATCAAAAACATGCAAATATGTAACAAATATCAACACTAACATGTATATATATCATAACCTCAAGAAATCTTGCATCACTTTGCTTTTAATTAAAAAAGTATTTATTTATTTGTTTGTTTTAATTAATTTACATATTTATTATAGTAATTAATTTATACTATTGTCCAATTTTTTTTAAAATATGTATTTGTTTGCAATATAATTTATCTAAACAGAAGTGGTAAAACACTAACATTTATGTGAATACTTATTCAAAATGTATTTATTTATTCATTGATTTATTTATTTATTTTATGTCGATCCACTTTAAAAAAAAAAAAAAATGTATTTATATATTCAGTATAGATGATCAACATTTGTTTATGTAAATACAAGTGGTAAAAAAGTTCAAGTTTTTGATTAAAAATCATACAAATATATCAGAAATAAGCAAATATATTGCAAATAGCAAGGCTAACATGTAGCCTACTGTATGTACATACTTATTCAAAATCAAATTTCTGTGTATACTATTCACTTTTGATAACCTCAAGAAATCGTGTATTATTTAGCTTTTAGTAAATGATTGTTGCAGATGCTGGAGCTGCAGTGTAATCACGGTCTCACTTCACAAATGTGACTGTGTCCTCAACAAATCCATTCACTCTCACTAGTGCTGGGCGGTATACCGGTTCATACCGAATACTAGTGTTTATTTTTGTTATGATGTGAATTTTTTAAATACCGCAATACCGGTGTATGTCACTTAAACAACATTCGGAACGCGTGTTTGAAAGGGGTCCCTTTTCACTGGCGAGGGAACAGCTGTATGTGTTACTAAGCGTGAAAGTTCCGAAACTGAAGCTGTAGAACTAATAGTTTCCTCTCAATCAGTAGAAAATATGGTTAACACCCGGTCATGCATGAAAAAAAAAAATACCGCCATGTACCGTGAAACCGGTATAATTTTGAATACCGTGATATACATTTTTGGTCATACCGCCCAGCACTACTCTCAGTTACACAAAACAAGTAGTTATCTATCAGTCATGCAATCTCAATGCAAAAGCAGCTTTAAGTGATTGTGTTCTGACGGCATTGTTGGTTGAGGGAAGATTTCTAGTCTTGATTTCAGCAGCAGGAGTTTTGGATGTAGTTTCCCCTCAGCGCTGCTTTCCAGGCGGAGCTGGTCTCTTTGAATCACGAGGGATGGTTTCAGGATTAATTGGAGCGCGGGATCTCTGCCGGCCATTTTTCTCTGAACTTTGCCATCTTTTAAATTAAATATTTATAGAGAGCGAGCGTTTCTGTGGGACATTTTCAGGCGAGATCATTAGTCCGGACAGATCTGCAGCGCAGCCAATTAGTCCTGATCTGAGGACGCGGTGTGTTCGTGGCGTCTGCCCTTCGCTTCCTTTCATCTCTCTCTCTGCTAGTTTTTAAGTTGTGTGTTTATTGGTGCCTCCGGCCCTCCAACAAAACTTTGATGAAGCTCGCAGACTTTGTCAAATCTAGCGACTCGTTCATGCGCTCGTCTGGGAATCAAGACTAGCGTGTAAAAACTAGTGCACTTATTCTGGACAGGAACCGCCCACTTCAACAGGAAGTCATAGTTTGATTGACATGTAGATGTTTTGTTTTTCTACTCCGTTTAGAGACAGTTTGATCTGAAATAAGTGCAATATTTGACCAACATGAAAAAATAATTTAAATATGACAGTTTATGTAAATAGAAGTAAAGAAGTTTTTTTGGGGGGTTTTATGTGAAAAATATGAAGTGTCTGTTGATTAGTCTCGTCAAGGATATACAAAGAAAAAAAAATGCATACTACAAAAAGGTACATATGTATTTATTTAATTAATTATTTGTTTTGTCCCAAAGCATGTCAAGTCAAGTCAAGTCACCTTTATTTATATAGCGCTTTTAACAATACAGATTGTGTCAAAGCAACTGAACAGCATTAATTAGGAAAATAGTGTGTCAATAATGCAAAATGACAATAGTAAACACTAATTTTCCAGTTAAAGACAGTTCATCATTGAATTCAGTGATGTCTTAGCATGTGACAAGCAAAAAATACATTTACGTCCTTATTTATCTTTATTCAATATTGTGCAATGTAATTTATGCAAATGAAAGCGGTACATAAGTTTGTTTTGATTAAAAACCAAATATACAATGAATGTGCAAAAAGTTTATGTACATACTTATTCAAAATAACAATTGATGTAGTTTTTCCATGCCATTTATCTGAAATAGATGATAAGATCTAACTAACATAAAAAAATCAAATAATGGTGCATCAGTTTAATTGCTAGTTATTTTTGAAGGAAAAGCACTGATTGGTTTCTGTTGCTGATCTGTCGTTCTGTAACTCTCTGACACACCTTTACTTTCTCATAGCTCTTCCTTAAAAGCATCTATTGAAAAGTCTCAGGGATTCAGTAAAAGTAGATGTATAGAAAGCCATCAGAAATGAGTGAAATCGATGAATGTATTGATGAACATTCATTTTGTTCATGATATGATGTTTTCAATGCACCGCTTCAAATGCAAACACTTTCCTTCATTTTCGGCAGCAGAAACTTAATTTTTGTTGCTATTTTTAGTGGCAAGATTTGACTGAAGAGCTTGTTTCTTGTGAATTCTAATGGCATCTTATGGTTGCCGGCAGTCCGGCATGTGATTTTCATGATTTTCAAGAGCTCTGGTCAGTTTTACAGCTCACCAATACAATTAAAGTGATTTCAGGAGGAACGACAATACAGCCGCTCAGAGTCACTGTCATTGTGAACGGCTCTTCAGTCCGACACTGATCTCTGTCCTCGCTTTTGTCTTCATTTCTCTCCATTTTCTCCAGCGAACGGCCGAGTTACACTGAAGTGAAGCGGCTCGTGAATCTCAGCGGCCTGCCGAACAGCAAACGCACAGAAATATAGCACATCAATATTGTGTCTTTGATGGCTAATAAAGCTGAGAGCGAGCGATTGATTCTGGAGTGATTCTCTGTTACTGTTTAAATAAGAGCGGCTCCATTTCAAACCACTGCTGACAGAGAAACACACACTTATAAATGACTGATTTGGAACGTTAATAGTTGCTTATGTTAACAGTGTGATGCTCTAATAAGCATTAAATATTGGATCAAATAGGCCATTTTTAATGTGATTTGAATGATTTGTACCAGCATTTTTTAGTACTGAAGTAAATGTATACTATGGTTCAAAAGTTTGGAGTTGGTA